CTCTCTCTCTCTCTCTCTCTCTCTCTCTCTCTCTCTCTCTCTCTGAGATGGCATCTCTCTATGTAGTTCTGGCTGTGCTAGAACTCTCTATGTAGTATATAGGCTGGCCTCCACTCATTGAGTTCCTCTACCACGCCCAGCTTGCTACTCCATTTCCTGTTCTCACAGCAGCCCACCTCTGATTGTTTGCCTGTTTGAGAAATATTTTTATTATTTATTTATTTATTTATTTATTTATTTATTTATTTATTTATTTATTTATTTTCATTCATTCATTCATTTATTTATTTGTTTTTTGAGACAGGGTTACTCTGTGTAGCTTTGGAGCCTGTCCTGGAACTCACTCTGTAGACCAGGCTGGCCTTGAACTCACAGAGATCCGCCTGCCTCTGCCTCCCAAGTGCTGGGATTAAAGGCTTGTGCCACCACCGCCCAGCGAGAAATATTTTAACTCTCCGTTTCTAACAGGGTGCACACATTATTGTGACTCCAGAAGACGGTATATATGGTATGCGTTTCACCAGGGATACTATCTACCCGTACTTGGAGGATATCCCAGACCCTCAAGTGAACTGGATCCCCTGTGATAATGCAAACAGGTGAAGAAAACAGTCCACGGAAGGGAGCGGGTTGGGGGAGATCTAGGGGGGAGTTGTAGGGAGGGGGAGGGTAGATATGATCAGATTTTACTATATACATATAAGAAATTCTTAAGCCAGGCAGCGGTGGCACACACCTTTAATCCCAACACTCGGGAGGCAGAGCCAGGCAGATCTCTGTGAGCTCGAGGCCAGCCTGGGCTACAGAGTGAGTTTCAGGACAGGCACCAAAACTACACAGAGAAACCCTGTCTCAAAAAACCAAACCAAATCAAACAAAACAAAACAAAAAAAAAAGAAATTCTCAATACACACACAAAAAATGAAAAATTCAACTATGAACCTTTACTTGCTTTACCTGGAAAGGGGTTGTTGAAAACATGGAACAAGTCCTGTGTAGTCAGATTGCTGCTGCTGTCTGTCACAAAATAGCTGAGACAACCAACTTCAAAGGAGACCCAGTTTCAGGGGTTTTAATCGATGGTCACGTGGCCCAGTTTCTTTAGGCCTATGGTAACATCATGCATCATGGTGGCAAGGCGTGGCAGAGCACTTAAATCACTCCAGGGTAGTCAGAAAGAAAAAAAAAAAGAGGAAGGGGCCAGGGTTCTAATACCTATTCATCAATATACCCCAATGACACACCTTCCTTCTCTTAGTTTTAACCTCTTAAAAGTTTCACCATCTTTAAGTACTCCCTTGGACTGGGGACCACGCCTTCAACATGGACCCACCATCAGCCAAGTTTGGTTTAATTTTCATCTCCTGTGAATATATTTATCAGGAAAATGAACATAAGTTATGAGATCACCAATCAATGCTCTAACATTTATTTCTATTTCCTAGTACCAAAGGGAATCACATCCAGTCTGGGGGGGATGGTAGCTGATAACTTGCTTAAGGTCTTAGAGGCAGTTAGCAGGAGGAACACGACCCAAGATATTAGCATGCCCACGTTTGCCTTTCCTCTTCAGAATCAGCTATTTTTCTCATTGCTCCAGCAAAATACCCAGTAAGGAGCAATTTCAGGAAGGAAGGAGTGACTTATTCTGGATTGCAGTCCGAGTGGGTACAGTCTATTATGGTAGGAGAAGACCCCATGGTAAGGAGGGTGAGGCTGTGGCCACACTGCACCTGCAGCCAGGAAGCAGAGAGTGATGAATGGCCTATTCAGCTAATTTTCTTCTTCCTCTTCCTCCTCCTCCCCTCCTCCTCCTCCTCTTCTTCTCCTCCTCCTCTTCCTCCTCCTCCTTCCTCCTCCTCCTCTTTCTCCTCCTCCTTCTTCCTCCTCTTTCTCCTCCTCCTTCCTCCTCCTCTTCTCCTCCTCTTTCTCCTCCTCCTTTTTCTTCCTCCTCCTCCTCCTTCCTCCTTTTCTCCTCCTCCTCTTCTTTTTTTTTTGAGGCAGGGTCTCATTATATAACCTTTGCTGGTCTAGAGTATGCTATATACTCAGAGACCCACCTGCCACTGCCTCTTAAGTGTTGGGATTCAAAGTGAGGACCACCCCAGCTATCTGAGCTGTGCTTCTTGGAGGTATCATATTGATGGGGCTCCTAGTATTTAATTTAAATTGCTGGTCTATGTCTTTCAGAGAGTTTAGATCATCGCCATTCAGAATTATTATTCAAAGATACGAATTCATTACTGTCTTCTTTTTCTTTTTGTTTCTTTTGAGACAGGGTTTCTCTGCATAGATTTGCTCCTTTCCTGGATCTCGCTCTGTAGACCAGGCTGGCCTCAAACTCATAAAGATCCACCTGGCTCTGCCTCCCAAATGCTCAGATTAAAGGTGTGCGCTACCATTGCCCGGCTTACTGTCTTATTTTTCTTGTTAAAATTTTTGATACTTTCCACTTTTCCTAATCCTCCTTTGCTTATATACTTTCCTAATCTTCCTTTGCTTATATACTAGTGTGGTTTATTCTTCACTGTAAATCCATACGTATGCTTATTTTGCTTCAGTGTGTAAAATTCCTTCAAACGTCTTCTTTAGGGCTGCCTTAATAGCTATGACTTCCTTTCAGCTTGGTTATCATGGCAAGGTTTTCTTTCTCTTTCAAGTATGAAGCTACAGCTTTGCTAGATATAGTACTCAGGGTTGACAGCTAATTTTCTTTCAAAACTTAAAGTTCATTGCTCCATGCTTTTTTGGTGTGTGTGTGTGTGTGTGTGTGTGTGTTTAATTTTTAGAAATCTACCATTATTCTGATAGATTTGTCTTTACACATGACTTGCTACTTCTCTACGGCTTTCCAAGTGTTTTCTTTGTTCCCTATATTTAGTATGCTAACTATACTATTACATAGGGAAGCTCTCTTCTTGTCTTCTATGTTTGGCATATACATTTGGGTGGCCATCTCTTTCCCTAGCTTTAGGAACTTTCCCTGCTATGATTTGAAAAAAAAGATGTATTTATTTTATGTGTGTGAATGTTGCCTTCATGTATATATGTGTACATGCCTGTCAGCTGCCTGGGAAGGTCAGAAGAAGCACAGGGTGGCCTAGAATTGGAGTTATGAATGGTTGTGAGCTACCATGCAGGTGCTAGGAACTGAACCCAGGTCCTTTACATGCAACATGTAGTGCTCTTAACCACTTAGCCATCTCTCTAGCTCCTCAGTTATGATTTTATAAACATACTGTTACTGCCCTTAACTTGTAGTTCTCCTCCTTCTGTGCCCATGCATAAATTTGGCTTTTTAATGGTGTCCCTTAGATATTGTGTGTTCTGTTTGTGTTTTCTTCTTACTTTTGATTTGTTCATCTGGGTGTCTTAAGTCATCCTCCTGTCTTCAAGCCTTGATATTCTTCCACTTGATTCAATCTGCTGCTAGGGCTTCTGTATCCTCCTCTTTTATATCTTGTAGTGTCTTCTTTATTTCATTTAGCTATTCATACTCTCTATCTTCTGATCAGGAGTCTATGTCCTCTCAAATTCTGTTCTCTGATGTCATTTAGGAGTCTGTTGCTTTAATTCTGTCCAACATCCTTATAATCAAGCCCTTATATTCATTGTCTGGTCTTTCTCGTTGGAGGCCATTTCTGTGGGGTTGGTGATTTTCAGGAGTCATGTTCCTTGGCTTTTCATGCATCCTGTATTTTCCATTTGGCATCTGTGCAACTGGGATTAAGTTGTTGGATTAAAAATCAAAAAACAAAACAAAATATAAATACAAACTCTCCCTTATTATTTCAAGTGAAGTGTTTGTAGAATCCAAGAGTGACTGATTGTAATAGGGTTGAGGTGCTAGACCTCCCCTCTGGGCCTGGGGTTAGGGTGTATGGTTTCTTTTTTTCTTCCTTCCTTCCTTCCTTCCTTCCTTCCTTCCTTCCTTCCTTCCTTCCTTCCTTCCTTCCTTCCTTCCTTCCTTCTTTTCCAGAGCTGGGGACCGAACCCAGGGCCTTGTGCTTGCTAGTCAAGCACACTAGCACTGAGCTAAATCCCCAACCCCTCTTCCTTCTTTCTTTCTTTCTCTCCCTCCCTCCCCTCTCTGTCTCTCACCCTCCATTCTCTCTGTCTCTCTCTGTCTCTGTCTCCATCTCTGTCTCTCTCTCTGTCTCTGTCTCTCTCTCTCTCTGTCTCTCTCTCAATACTGTTTTGGTTTTTCAAGACAGGATTTTTCTGTGTAGGCCTGGCTGTCTTGTAACTTTCTCTGTAAACCAGCCTAGCCTCAAACTCAAGAGATAAGCCTGCCTCTGCCTCCTAAGTACTGGGATCAAGGACCTGTGCTCTCACTGCCCAGTGGGTGTGGGGTTCAATGCCTAAACCTTCAGCCTCTATGCTCAGGGCACCAGGCACATTTCCCAACACTACTCCAAGAGCAGATTATCAACCCTAAAAACAACCTCAACTGAAGGCAAGGCCTGCTTTGAAATTGGAATTTTTTTCTCTTATCTGAGCTCAGGGTACCTGCAATCACCATCATCTAGGTGTGCCTACCCTACTGAATTTCAGTTCATACGATTCTCTTCTCCAGATACCATCTCTCAGTGGAGAACTGGGTTTTGGAGTTTGGAGACGTGTATTTTCTACTTTTCCAATCAATTGGCTGATTGTAGATTTTCTCTCAGGTCTGCTGTCTCCTTGCTACACCCATAATTTGTTGAGTCTCAGACAGTGGGTATTAATTTCTCAGTTTCTGCTTTCACAGTTTGTTGGTGTATCATCAAAATTTTTGGCTTTTGCTTCTGATCATCTTATTTTCCCTCTGTTTATCAGAGTAGGGGATAGAGAGGGTTTTCCTTTCTTTCTTTCTTTTTTTTCTAGCCAGGGTTTCTCTGTGTAGCTTGCGCCTTTCCTGGAACTTTGGAGACCAGGCTGGCCTCGAACTCGCAGAGATCTGCCTGCCTCTGCCTCCCAAGTGCTGGGATTAAAGGTGTGCACCACCACCACCGCCCAGCTTAGAGAGAGGGTTTTCATTCACTACTTTTGGTCAGTGTTTTAGGGTACAGTCTTACTTTCTTGATACATCTAACATTCTTTAAGGTCTCACTGTGTACCTCTGGCTGGTCTGGAACTTGTTGGAACTTCTAATAGGCTGTCCTCAAACTCCCAGAGATCTGTCTGCCTCTGCCTCTGAGTGCTGGGGTTAAAGGCGTGCGCCGCCGCCGCCGCCGCCGCCGCCGCCGCCGCCGCCGCCGCCACCACCACCCATCTCATGTACTATCTTTTGCCCCTTGTCTGTAGTGGTTTCTCCAGTCCCGCCTGGCCCCTGCAGTCCTCTTGGCCCCGAGGTACTGCAGCCACTTATAAAATAACCACTCATAGGCTTAATATTATTTACATGCGGCCTATGGCAGGCTTCTTGCTAGCTAGCTCTCATAGTTTAACTCAACCCACAATTACTAGTCTATGTATAGCCACATGTTCTGTGGCTTTACCTGTGTCTCATTACATGTTGCTCCTAGGATGGCAGTCTGGCATCTTTTCCACTCTGCCTTTCTCTTTCCTGTCTCTCCCTTTGGATTTCCCGCCTGCCTCTAAGCTGCCTTGCCATAGGTCAAAGCAGCTTATTTATTAACCAATGGGAACAACATATGTTCACAGCATACAAAAAGATATTCCCCTGGCCCCCAGCACTTGTCCTCTCATATTTCTCAACTTTTTGTTTGTTTGTTTTTGAGATTGGGTAGCCCTGGCTCTGGAGCTTATTATACAGACCAGGCTGGCTTTGAACCCAGTGAGATCTGACTGCCTCTGCCTCCCTAGTGCTGGAATCTATCTATCTATCTATCTATCTATCTATCTATCTATCTATCTATCTATCTATCTATCTATCTATCTATCTATCTATCTATCTATCTATCTATCT